GGTCTTGCCGTCTCCACCCACCCTGGATCCACAACCAGGATCCAGCTCCCAGAGGGTGAACCTCTCCTAAATCCAGAGAGCGTAGCAGGAACAAATCAAGCTATTGCAAGAGCTTACTCTGGGGAGTAAGTGATTATAGCAATCCCCAGAGTGTAGGTATCCCTTCCCCCAAACATGAGCCAAGGCTTCAAGAAAGGTACAAGATGAACTGGTTTTAATGACCAAACACTGGCTTTTATGCAAGTCCCCATGCAAGGGGATATCCCACAGGGTGGGACCCAGTATAACCAATCACAGACAATACAAACAAAACACTCCCACAGTGACATCACAATCCCTCCTCTCTATCCTGGAGATAATTGGGAAGTAATCAAATTTTCTCCCAGGACAGAGGCAAGACTCCATTAACCACATGGTTACAAAAAGACATAAAATTACACAATGTTACAATAACTATATAAAACATATACATGCAACATATCCCCAGATAGCTTAGATCTGAGTGCACATTATTATTGAATGGCGCTCAGATCACATACGTACAATTTAATCGCCATGCAGCCAAAGTCTTTTCCATAGTCTTTTGTTACACAAATAGGCTCCATGGCATAGCTATCTGGGATAGCATTACTACCATACTGAAAGTCCAGAACGCCCCAGCAGAATCAAACGAACATGCTTGTGAATTGTGCAATTCCTTTCGTTCTTAGTTCAGCTACATCTTGCCTTAGGGTTCTGATCACCCGAATGGCCCAAATTCTGACAAATTGCATTTTGTATTCACAAGCATCCTTTTTACCACAGTCATTTAGGAACTCTGTGTGTATATAAACCGGCATAGATCTTCCCATGCTGCATAATTGGAAAGTTTTACTTGTGTACGAGGTGCATGCTGATACTCACTACCACTATACAATTCCACACTCCCAGACCTTGGCCTGTACTAACCTGGCGGATTTCCCTGGGATATGTTAATGGGAGCACATGGTGCCTGTACAAACATAGAGTTTATTACTCCCTATAAAACTTGTTACTATATTGGCAGCCTGACACCTGCAGTTATAGCAAAGCCTTTTTTAGAGGAACGGCTAGAGAGGTTGTGTACACACATCTACCAGCATGGCTTGGGTTATCCGCGCCAGGAATGTGAACGAAGCAATCACAATACTTAGCAGGTATCAAAGGGACTTTTTATTTGTTACAAACCGAGTAGTTTATGGCAATGAAATACACGATTGGCCCGGTGAGAGTGTTTACTGCTCATCAAGACTTGTTCGATGGCTTTGAAAAAGTACAAGAGGGCAATATATTTGGGAGAGGGTGAAAAGGTATGCACTCTAAACTGCAAGGTGATATTCTAAAGGCAGATGGAGAAAAAGTTATTGGTTTAAAGGTGTCAGGCAGATATAGCAGCATCGACATCTAGACAGAGAAACTAAAATAAAATAAATTATTCTACAGAGGAATACTATAATTTGCAGTACAAAAGAAGGTTGTACTTATCTGTAGGGTTGCGCATGCTAGATTAAAAGGAGGAGGGAGAAAATCTGAAAGTAATAAGAGTATTTTGTCTGCCTCTGTCCTATAACACCAAATTATTTTCCAGCCCCACAGCACGTGTCAGGTCCTCTCATTTTCTTGTAGATTGCTGTTATTAAACCTCAAATTATCACACAATTAGTAATCAGTGGACTGGCTGGGCTTGTTGTCTGTTGGCAGGATTGTGACTGACACACAGATGGGAAAAAGTCTGCTGGACTCTACCCTCCATTAACCTTATAGACTAATAGGCTTATTTTTTCCTTGACAGCTTCACTAATTACCCTCCTAAAAGCAAACACACACAAAAAAAGGCTAAAAATCCCATTTTCTTCAAATTACTTTCAGATTTGCGGGGGGTTTTACTCCCTGGCCTTTGCAGTCTGCAATGATCCCACGCTACAGAGAAAACTACCACTGACAAGGAATTTGTATAACCCCACTACCCAAAATAGCACCTCTCCCCCTCTGAGGTTTGCCGGAAAATGGTCTGGGAACTGGTAAAGAAATTGTGGTAGTTGAAGACAGAGATTGCAGCTAAATATGGAACGGATTATAAAATCATCACAAAATTCCTGGTAGTTACAATGCAGCTTCCATCACCCTCATCCACTTATTCAGATTGACTGGCAAAGTTAGTCTTACATATGCTAGATTAAAATGGTTGCTTATCCCCGAGCTACAATATGCAGAAACTAGGACTGAGAGAGGGCAGACTTTGCTTAATAAACTTCTATAAACACAGATCGTTGTGTGCGCAGACTGAGTGAGGATTAGCACAGGATATTGGAGCGAGCTGGGATGGAGATGAGTTTTATACAGGATGCTACATGGGTAGATTTGGTGCCAGATTTAATACAGGATGTCGCACATACAGTGTTGGAGTTTGGGCTGGTGTGTCTGCAAAAAGAAAGAAACATAAGAAAGGCATGGGATCTGGGCACGTGTGTGTTTTTACGACATAGCAAGGACGCAGTACAGGATCTCTTACAGAAAGCTGTGAGAAGTAGTGGGAACCTAAATGGCATGTGCTTGCTGTGTGTACATGTACCATGTAAATACTTAGATTGATGAAGTTAAATGTAGGTTCCTTATTGGGAAATCACAGTTTTTAAAATATTAAAAAATATGTTTCTTTAAAAATCCATATCATGTAAAGGAACACAATAAATCTCAAAAGCTTTTGTTGCTGAACATCCTTGTCACATTATAAAAGTACTGATTTCAAGAAAAACTGGGACCTTTATAGCCAGACTAATTTGTACCCTCTCAACTGTCAATCAAACGGCCAGGAGTGTGCTCCTCCTGAAATATTTGCTCTGGGGTACAAAGTGGAGTCATATGCTTATCATAGGGAAGCATTGTATTAAATGCTTCTCTTTGAGAATTATTGCAGGGTTGTATGGCAATTGCAATGCATGTAACCTACATCCTAGTGATTCTCTATAATCTCTCGGCAGCCAGAGACCAACTTACTGCTGGATTTACAGGTAAGTTACCCCTTTAATGACTAGTATTGCAGGGGTTTGCAAGCTTTTAACTTCGCTTCCTCTGTTCTCCCCTATTTCTTGTCTCTTATTTTTCCCCCTAAATGTGGAAATATTGTGCATAGATTTTCTAATATTACTTTGAATAGAATGTGCTTTAATATTACCTTTAGTGTAATTATTCCCTCTATTTAGACATTAATTATATACTCTCCTTAGACATTAATTATACACTTTCCTTAGACATTTTAGCATGGCCCTCACCATCTTCTATATCTGTACATCACTCTATTTTTGCAATTACTTGCTTGATACCCACCCATTGTACAGAACTGCAGAATATGTCAACACCATGAAATAATATGCATATTTTTTGTGATGACTTCATAAATAAGCGATTATTTTTCATATTAGTTGTGCTACACTGGGATAGCTAGCTGAGAAACAGGCATGATTGGAAAATTTGGTGGGGGAGAAAGCAAAATATATTTTCAACTTGGGAGTGTTTTTCACACATGAGATGGCAGCTCATTCTGGTAGGAATTTAAATGAAGCAGCATTTACTCGATGCTTGAGATAATTAGGCTCCTGTGGGTCTCTGATATAACCACAAGGGCTGCTCTCTCAGCACATCACATGACGGAACCTATTACACCTCAGTCACTCCACAGCCAGAAACCATCTGTAATAACCTCCAAACTATTTATATAGACACAAAAATAAAGATATCACTGAGGCCAGATCCAGCCAAAAGTTCATATTACAGCAACGCAGGCACACCACACAACGATTTATAACAGGCACTGCTATATGGAGCTTGTCTATAGGGGGTGTCTAAATGGAGCCAATTCTCTGTAGGTATGGCATTTATAAAGCAAATGAGAATTTACTATGTTCAATCAAAAGAATCCCATGCCTGTCTAGAATGAGGCTAAGTGGGCGGACTGTAAAGGCAATGGCATTGTCTAGGCACCTTAGCTGTTGCATAGCATTGTGATAGAATCATTAAATATTGTTCGTGGGGTCAGATACATTATTTTTGGAAGTGTAGGAAGAGAACCAGGAATTAACATCCTAAAACCCTTCTAAATTCCTTAAAAAAAAAAATTTACGACAAAAACAACAATCTACGTAATCCATGCCATTGTTTGATTGCCCTCTTGATTGCTTTGGCATGCAGTGGTTAGTTCTCGGTTACTTTTATACTTATCAGCCACAAAATTAAAGCCACTGACAGGTAAGTGCATAACATTGATTATATTGTTACAAAGACACCTGTCAAGGGGTGGGATATAATAAGCAGCAAGTGAACAGCCAGTTCTTGAATTTCAAGTGTTGGAAGGAGGAAGAATGGGCAAGCGAAAAGATCTCAGTAACTTTGACAAGGGCCGAATAGTGATGTTTAGACAACTGGCTCAGAGCATCTCCAAACCGACAAGTCTTGCAGGGTCTTTCCAGTATGCAATGGTTAGCACCTACCAAAAAGTTTTGCAAGGAAGGACAACCGATGAACTGGCGTTGGGGTCATGGGCACGTGGGGAGCGAAGGCTAGCCCGTCTGGTCCGATCACACTGAAGAGCTACTGTAGCTTATATTGCTGAAAAATGTAACACTGGCTATGGTAGAACGTTGTCAGAACACACAGTTCATCGCATTTTGCTGCTTATGGGGCTGCATAGCTGCAGACCGGTCAGAGTGCCCAGACTTTTGTTTACTGCAGAAAGTGCCTTGTATGATTATGGAGCCATTTTGGTAAAGCTTGTGGCTTGGTATTGATTTCAAAATATTAGTCAATGTTTTTCACACAATATAACAGAAGCATAAATACACATAGTTCAAGATAAAACTGCCTACAGTGCATTCAGAAAGTACTCAGACCTAGTGATGTCCCGAACGGTTCGCCGAACGGTTCGCCTCGAACGGTTCGCCACGGTCTCATCATTGAGTAAACTTTGACCCTGTACCTCACAGTCAGCAGACACATTCCAGCCAATCAGCAGCAGACCCTCCCTCCCAGACCCTCCCACCTCCTGGACAGCTCACTAAGAATGCAGCTTCACAATGAATGTAAAATGGATGCTGTCCAGGAGGTTGGGAGGGTCTGGGAGGGAGGGTCTGCTGCTGATTGGCTGGAATGTGTCTGCTGACTGTGAGGTACAGGGTCAAAGTTTACTCAATGATGAGTCCGCGGCAAACCGTTCGTGGCGAACCGTTCGGGACATCAATACTCAGACCCCTTTGTCTTTGCATGTTGCAACCTTATGCTACAATTTTTTTTAATTATTGGTTGTTTTTTCAAATCAATTTTTGTTTTGTCTTCTAATGACAAAGCAAAAACCAGATTTTTGAAAACTGTTAAAAAACATATATATGAAATTTCACAGTAACAGAAGTATTCAGACAATTTGCTATTTATCTCAGATGCATCCCATTTCTCTGCATCATCTTTGAGAGGTTTTTAAACTTCAGTCTACCTGTAGTAAATGCAATTAATTTAGCAGAATTTGGTAAGATATACACCTATCTTTATATGATCTCACAGCTGCAAACGCATATCAGTCCAAAAACCAAGCCATGTAGTCAAAATAATTATCTACAAAGCTTAGAGACAGATTTGTGTTGAGGCACAGATCTGGGAAATGCTATAAAAAAAATCCAGCTGCATTGAAGGTTCCCAAAAGAACAGTGGCCTCCATAATTCTTAAATGGAAGAAGTTTGGAACCATCAATGATATACTCAACCGATCTGGAATTATGGCAGAGAAAAGCCTCTCTGATGCTACAAATCAGCATCTCTAGGACTCTCAGACTTTGAGAAATGAGATTTTATGACCTGATGGAACTAAGATTGAATTGTTTCGTCTCAGTTTTAAACCAACCACCACTTATCACCTGGACAACAATATCCCAACAATGAAGCATGGTGGGGATAGCATCATGTTTTGGATACAGAAAAATCCCTAATGAAAACCAGGTCCATAGCGCTCAGGAACTCAGACTCAGATTTATTATCCAACTGGACAATGACCATAAGCACACAGCCAAGACAATGCAAGAGTGGCTTAGAAACAATTCTATGAATTGCCTTCAGTGGCTCAGAGTCTGAAATTGAACACAATCAAACATCTCAAACCTGGAAATTGCTTTCCCACAATGGTCCCCATCTAACCTGGCAGAACTTAAGAGGATCTGCAGAGATCAATGACAGAAACTACCTAAATCCAGGTGTGAAAATCTTGTTGCCTCATATCCCAAAAGAATAGAGGATGTAACCATTGCCAAAGCTGCTTCAACTGAGCAACAAGTTACGGGTTTGAATACTATGAATGTCAATATGATGTTTAAGTTTTTTTGTTTAATATATTTGCACTGGTACTAAATATTTAATTTAATGTTGGTGGCACATCACTTGTAAATGATTTCCCTGAGTTGTTGATCCCCATTCCATTCATCATGAGTTTCTGTAATAAAAGTAATAATAATACAATATAATCCCACTATCCCCCAGTGTTTCAGACTATTCTACCTCTACTACAACAAAAGGATCTTTGAAAATGAGTAATTCAACATATTTGTATTTCATCACAGGGGTTAATATAGAGTGTAAATACACATGAATTGATATAAAGGATTAAGAAGAAGCTTGTTTATGGAATATAGGAAATCAGTTACATGTAATAATAGAACCATTTTCAATAACGGTGTTCACTGTTCAACAAATATATTCATTGTGTTACAGGAAGCTATCCTTATGAATACATGATCACAGGGCTTCCATTTGAAGGAACATTATAGCTATAAACAGTTCTGCTAATATTAACAGTACATGTTCCTAAAACTAAGGGGAAACTCAAACGAGACAGAGACAGACACAGAGAGAGAAGTGCATAAAGGTGAACTGTGCATTATGGGGAACTAAAGCAATCTCAGGATTCTGGAGATTCAGTATAAACTGAAAAACATATGGTTTATATGTTTTCTCCAGAACCCGTTCGATAGTTTGATTTTCTTCAACACCCTATGTATCTTTTAAATTACATGATATTTTTAGGCTAGGCTTAATGTGTTAAGGTTTAAGTTTAGGATGACGGTTAAGTTTAGAGTTGGTGCAGGGCTAGAGTTACTGTTAGGTCTAGGATTAGTGTTAGAGCCAAGGTTCAAGTTACATAGCATGCTAGCATAGTTACTGAGTTCTCTGTTAGGGTAGAGTAAGATTTATTGAAGGTAATGTAGCGGATAGGGGTTAGGCTGGATTCTCCACAAGGCCACCATGGCCATGGCCAAGGTGCGGGAATAGGTAGCTGTGCGGCATCATGGCCAGCCCACTGAGCCCACCGAGATTGCAGGACACGGGGGAAATTTAACAGTGGGCCGCACTATGGTAATTAGGCCTGTTTAAGCAATAAACTGATATGAAGCTTACTTCCACCCTTTCCCGAGTCCCACAGTCTATTTGGCCTCACAAGTTTCTTTTGTGCTTTTATAAAAAAGTTAATTTAGGAAAAGCACATTTATTGGAAGGATAAACGTATTACTTGTGTCAGCAACCGCTGGGCAGCCATCATTCACAAGGACTGCCTCCCCCTTCTTTTTGCTGACTGCAATAATAA